CCAGCGCCAGGCCCCGAGGGAATGGCCTCAAGCTGCCCAGGGCAGGGTCAGGCTGGCTCTGAGGAAGGATTTCTGTGCAGAAGGGGCTGTTGGGCGTTGGAATGGGCTGCCCAGGGCAGGGGGGAGTCCCCGGGATCCCTGGGGGGGTTGAAGAGTCGGGCTGAGCCAGCGCTGAGGGATCTGGGGGAGCTGGGAACGGTCAGGGGGAGGGTCATGGTGGGGCTGGAGGAGCTTCAGGGGCTTTTCCAACCCAGATGGTGCTGGGGTTCTGTGATTACACCCTCCATTACATGGTGAAACCATCTCCCATGGCTGGCAGACCAGCGAGGTTTGACCTTGGACCTCCAGACAGCAGTATAGGTGTCACCTAAGCTAAAGGAAAAATGCCCCAAGGCCTGCTCTGCCAGTCCATTTCCTTTTGACAGATGTACTCTTGGGGTATTTTTTTTTTTAGTTTTTAGAGGTATTTTTTCTTCTTATGCAGACTCAGTGGCAAGAGCAACTTTAATGAGAAGGAGTAATGAGAAAATATAACCCACCCCGTTCGGTCACACTGGGGAAGGACTGACCATGCCCTGACACGCGCAGTCTTTCATCCACAGAAAAGATCTGTAAAATGAAAATTCAGTGCTTGGTGTGTGTCAGCCCTGTAGCTGCCTGGGACTGGACAAAGTGCCCCTGTACTGAGTACTGTGTCCTGAAAGGTGATGGTTTAGTATCAACAGCGACATTTAAGATGCTTCTGCTTCCAAGTGAAGCAGCAATAATAGCTTCTCCGAGCTGGGATTTACTATCAGAGGGAACAGTGCTGCCTTCTCTTATTGCGTTGGGAATGTTGGCATGCTCCTTCTCATGCTGTAAGGAAAATCTTCCCATGCTTGTCACCTCCAGGGATAAGATGAAACCAAGGCAATTCGTTAGCAAACATGGTAATCAAAGCCTGTATCCTGCTAAATACAGCAGCAGTGATCTTTGCAGCCACTTTAGGCTGAAGTGATAAAATGTCAGGTCATGATTCCATTTATAAGCAACTTTCTTTACAAAGTTGGACTTTTCTTAGTATTTTAGTAACGCAGCCATGAAAGACGTCTTAAATTCATCTCAGTTTCCCGACTTCTGCTTATAACGCTGTCTCCTTACCTTTACGGGTTTTTTTTTTCCACGAGCAAGGATGTTATACTGCTGCATGGTAACGTGCAGGTTTTTATACTTAACCACGGGTCTTCCATGGGCCACCGAGGTGCACCCAATTTTGAGCCGGAAGATTTAATAGCAGAGACAGTAATTTTGAGCAGGAAACAAAGAGCAGAGTGGCCATTTCTGGAATGTCCTTTTCAACTGCTCAAATGGGGGCAAGGCCAACTTCTGAGGTTATTACTTTTTCCCGAAGAATTCTCAGAGAATAAGTTAGGATGAAGGTGGTTGTTTTCCAGTTAAAAATATAAATAGATTGGAGTAGTGGATGAATTGAATTCTTTTTCCCTAGAACTGTGAAATGAATGTGAAAAAAAAAAACAAAAAACAATCTAAAAAGTGTCACGAATGCAACAGAGTTACTTCAATCATCTGTTTTTCCTTTCCTGCACTTTGTCTTTAGTATTTTCGGCTGTCCTAGGCATCTCCAGTCCAGACAACTGTCTCACTTTACATCTGTAAACTGTGAAAAATCATCGGCAGTGCTGCGAAGTAAACAGTGTGGCCTAGAATCCCAAATGCCATTTTCTATAACGACTCGGGTGATTTAGAAACTTCTCTCCCACCAAGAGCGGCAGCACACTTTACACAGGTTTTGCCAAACGGGAGATGTTTGCTGCGTTCGAAGACCCAATGGCTTTCAAGAATTTAAGTCTCCTAGTGGGGTTTAGAAGTTTAGGAAACTTGACTGTTTTGTGAGGAGCTGGCATTTCACTAAACTCCTATTCTTCCTTCCGTGTTGCAGTTATTCTCTGGCTTGGCACAAGTGGAAGGCTGAGAAAGCTGGGGATGTGTCACGTTTCTGGGCGTGGGACAGAGTCACATCTGCGGGTAAGCCGTGCCAGGGGAACTGCTACCATGTACGTGGGGTCACCAGCATTCCCCTCCTTCCTCTCTGACACCTGTACTTTCACTGCCAGGACATCTGCTCACAGAGTTAATTGAAATCAGCAGAGACAGAGTATTATTGCTGATGTGATACTGTTTGAAGCGTATGTAAGTGTGACCAGCAGGGACAGGGAGGTGACAGTCCCCTGTGCTCAGCACTGGTGAGGCCACACCTGGAAGGTTGTGTCCAGGTTTGGGCACCTCAATCCCAGAGAGATCTGGAGGGGCTGGAGCGAGGGCAGAGGAGGGCAGCGAGGCTGGGGAAGGGCTGGAGAATCAATCCTGTGAGGAGCCAGGGAAGGAGCTGGGAGTGTTGAGGGGGAGGAGGAGGAGGCTGAGGGGAGCCCTCATCCCTCTCTGCAGCTCCTGACAGGACATTGCAGAGAGGCTGGGGCTGGGCTCTGCTCCCAGGGGATCAGGGACAGGACAAGAGGGAACGGCTGGAAACTGCCCCAGGGGAGGGTCAGGCTGGGCAGGAGGAGAAAATGTTTCCCAGCAAGAGTGGTGCGAGAGTGGAACAGGCTGCCCAGGGAGGGGGGAGTCCCCATCCCTGGGGGGGGGTTCAGGGCCGTTGGGATGAGCTGTGGGGGATGTGGGGTAGGGGAGAACTTTGTAGAGTCGGGCGGGTGGCTGGTAACTGTGCTCCCTTTGACAGCGGGGCAGAATTAATCTTCCTGAATGCTGGGTGTCTCAGAGGTGGGCATCCTTCTGGGCTTCATTTTCATGGAAAGAAGAATGTAGTTTCAGAGAGTAATTTATCTGAGACAACTGTTCTGGGATAGGTTCACTCAGCAAATCCCAGGTTGGTTGCTGACGGGGTCTGAGATGTCTGCAAAGGGCTGAAAGGCTGCTGTGCACCCCCTGCTCTGAAAAGTTTCGGTAACAAAGTACCCCATGACAGAAAGTACAAAATGAGCTGCAATAGGACCAGGGGAAAAAAAAAATAAAAAAATTATGTATTCATGCTAAATAAAAGAGCGTAAATGTGCAGAACCTTGAATTGACTTACATGCAGCTGCAGCGAAGGAAGAAATCACTCTGAGGAATACTCCCATTTAATAGTTTTGATTTAAAATAAATTAACAGTATTTCAAACCTTAGCCAAAATTTTCTCAATATTTTATTCTTTTATTTTCCTTACGCTGTGATTCAGCAATTAGCAACACTGGAGCTGTTCACTGCTCCATTACCAGCAATACAAATATAACTTGAATTAAGTGTAAACTAGTATTTCTTTAGCCAACACTAGTATTATGCTTTCATTCCCTTTGCTGGTTGGGCAGAGCAAACAATATCCGATCAGTCATAGGGCCAGCACATACATGAGGAATCCATCATCATTTTTTGGAATCAACTTTAATCAACAGATGGAATTTGGGTTGGGTCAATGCTTTGCGACATGATAGTTGTAGTAAGGTTTCATTCAGGTCAAAAGCTTTCAAGATATATTTACTTAATGGCCATAGAAATTCTATTTTTTTTGTCTTGTGAAAGCATATTAGAGCTGCTCAGAAGGAATTACTGAAGCTTAAGATACAAGTGACCCTGCAAAGCCACTCTAGGTAGTGTTTTCTGTGTTGGCCTTAAAAGTTCTTTAAAAACTGGCTCAAATTTTAATATGTGCATCAGCAAAGTATTACCCTGCTGGGCAAGAAGGCAATTTAATAATGCTGCATAACATTGCCTCAGCATCCTCTTGCCCTTTTTCAGTGTGTAAAGGAACAGTAGCTATGTCTAAGTGCTTCCGCAAAAGCAACTTCTGGCTTTGTGGCTTTGCGGAGTTTTCTGCAGAGGTTGTGACGGCAGAACTGTGGGATTTTAGGAGTTAACTCTGATCAACTAAGGATGAATGTGGCTGTGCTAACAGCCTTTGGTTCTGTTCATACTGTCCAACCCCTTCTCACCTATATCCTCTCTGGCCCTGCGACCACTCAAAGGGGGTGTGAGAGGGTTGGGTGTTAGCACGGTGAACTTTACAAAAAGGAAAGTTTCACCCGTCGGAAAACGTGACTGCAACTTCTGCACATCTTCCGGCTGTTTTACAAGGGGGGGTGCTGCTCTCTGTACTGAATAACTTCAAATTTGGAGCAGAGACCCTTTTGGGAACCATATTTAGGCACCTCTCTATCTTTAGACACTTCAGTGCTTTAGAAACCCATCCCTAGAGATCTCATGCCCTGGGAAGTTAACATTCATTGTTAATATGATCAACTATTACTCCTTGAAGCTCATATTCTGATTGTGTCACACAAAAATCCAGCATCTTGCTTTCCTCCATCCTTTCCAAATTTCCCCCTCTCCCTTCCCCATCACCACTGACAGACAATATTATATGTCATGAGGAAACCTCAATCTCCACCCAACCTCACCCCACATTCTGCAATCAGATCTTGCCACTTCTGTCCTCTCTCCATAGCCAATATCCTTCCTTTTCTTTCCAATCCCATGGCTAAATTCTCTTTTAGTCCCTACTGCTTAGACTGCTGTACCATCACAACCTTCTGGGATCACTCATCGAAAAGACCACCCAAGTCAAGGTTCCACCACTTTCACTGTCTTCCTACATGCCTTTACATCAAAAATACATTTCTCAGTCCCACTGCATTTGTCTTTTGTAATGCTGCGTATTATCCATCAGTCCTCTCAGCTTTATTTTCCCATTTAAAAGTCTTTCACCAGTCGCTCTGATGCCTTCTTCACGGGGTCTCTGTGTGCTGTAAGACTTGCCAAGCTCACCTGCTAGTCTGTCTGCTTAGCGTGTTTACTTGATTTGTTCTTAAAAATAAATAAAAGCAATTTTGCTGGCCCTCTTTTCTGAAGATCTATTTGGTTTTTATACCACCCATCTGGCTCTCTAGAAACCATCCAGCAGGCAACAGTTACATTAGCAGTAAAGCTAAGTTTGCGATCTAAACCTGGCTCATCAAAACGCTCCTGATGGGTTTGATTCACACAATAAAACACATCCTTTCCCCTCAAATACTGAATTAAAAATGCAATTTAAGTTGTCAGTAGGCTTCTTGCAGTTTGTGGCTTCTTGCTTTCTAGGTACAGAATTAAAAAAAACGGAGTTTCTGGACGCTTCCAGAAGATTTCAGATGGAAGCCGCGAGATATTCTCGCACCTTTCCAGCAGAGCGGTAGGACATGTCCTTCCTAGAAGAGCAGTGTGTGGTGTCACAGAAGTGGTAACAAGAGGAACCATCTGGGAGGCAGCCAGAAGGTTGAGCCTAATACGCTGCAGCTGCTCGGCCTTCGCTAGCACAGCAGGACCGAAGAGCTTAATTCCATAACCCAGTAAACAAATTAGGAGAGTGGAGGGAAAACCAACCACGAATCTGTTTGAAAGTCCCGGTGGTAGCTGGTTTGCCATCAGCTGGGCAGTTCGGACTGCTGGAGCTGTGGCAGGTTTCTGTTTATCCAGTTTGATACCCCAGGAAAGGGCAGATGGATCGGCCTTGAAGCGTCCCGTCTGCTCTCGGGTCCCTGGTAGTGGCCGTAAGGAGGATGACGAGCCCTGTGAAAAGTCATTGGGGGTACTCTGTTCCAGGAACGGAGCCCATGTTTTGGTCTCTAGTAAACCAGAGACTCATCTAAACCTTTACCAGTAGGTCTGTACTGTTTTGGATGAAATGTTTCTCTTTATTTCTATACACAGGCAATGCAGTAAAGCAACCAGCTGGTTTTGTGGGTAGATTTTTCCCTGTAAGGAATTCTGCTGCCTAGCAGTGTGTTGTGTTACGTGTCTTTTCCTTTCTGAGCTTCTGCGTTTCTTACTTTCTCCTTTCAGTTTGGTGTGCCACAAGACCTTTGTACCATTCCTGAGAAACACGTCCTTTCTCGCAGTCGGTTCTGATGTCTTCAGAGAGTTTTTCCGTATCTCTTGAGATTCAAAACTGCCCTTCTCTACATTTCCCTGAGCTCTCATGGTCTGCAAAATGCGATGACTAATACTGTCTGCTAGTTAACAGGGAACAGAACTGTTTTTCAATCACATAATTAATTCAGAGAGATTCCACTTAATACTTCTAATTCTGTTTTTCCATACTATCCAGAAGACACAAATTCAGAAGAAGCTGAATAATTTCAGCTGAAATTAGTATTCAAGCATGATTAATTTGTCCGGATCCCCTCATACCGTGCATGTTTTCATGTAACTGTGTACAGTCTTCTGCGGGGTGTTGCAATAAAAGTTGTTTGTTTTCTGAGCAGCATGCACAGGAACAACGAGCAGGGGTCCTTGGTCTCTGAAACAGGGATGGGTATTTATATTTATTTCCCTACTGTGGTTGTGGGACATGCTGCTGGCTGAAACGAGGGGGTGGAGTTACCCCATAATTAGTTTATTATAGGTGGGGAGGGGAAGAAGAAAGTGGTTGCAATCTACCTAGGTGTTTATATAGTCAATATTTGAGAGAAAATGGATTCAGGATCTTCCACGGACTGAGAGCACATGACGTAATGTGGATATTCTCTTGTTTACGGGGAAACAGCAAGTATTTTGGGTCACAGCGTGTCTTGATTCTTATCCTAAAATCCCACTCCTGCGAAGTGTGGCGGTGTTGATACTTTTCTGGAGGCTACTGTAGCTCCAGCAGCAAGATCCTTGTTTATTAGACTTTGTCATTGATATGAATCCATTGAAGGATGTCTCTTTTAAAATATAAGCTACTCCATTTTGTGAAAGATATGGGCAACCTTCCTTCTGCAAGGTGGGAAGTTGCAGATAGGCACCGTCAGCTCCTGCAGTTCTCCCCATGGATGAAGAGGAAATTGAGAACTCTCTTCTCAATCAAGTACATCCAATGGTTGAAGAAAACAGTGTTGGAATGGGGCAGTTGCAGGCCAGTCCAAGCTTTGTAGATCTAAATCTCAACCTCAGCAAAATACGAGGCAGCTGGCAGGATGGAGCAGAGGGCTTCTGTCCCTATTTCCAAGCACGTCTCTCTGAAATGGTGCCCACAAAGAGTTAAATACCCCTTCCTCTTTGTCTCCTTACAAAACGTCCCCAAGAAGTGAGAGGGGTAGTTGGCGATTTTTACAAAACTACATCCTGTCTTTCTGCTCGTGACAAAGCTCTACTAGTCAAAACATGAAATAATTTGAAACCTTTGCAGATATTTTCTAATCCCGACTGGGACTTCAAACGGAAACCAGTTACATCATATCCAGAAAGTGCAAATCTTTCCTGCAGACTCCAGAGGAATTGAAGGCAGTTGGGTCAAGTGGGATTATCTTTATTGCTGGTGTGTAAAGCGGGGTGAGATGTCTCCTCCTCTGCTAGTAGACTTGCAAAGTCATTGACTTGCCGAGCTGTTATCTAACAGGCACAGCAGAGTGGTGAGTACTGGCACCGATTCAAACTTCTCCAGCAACCAACTCCCCACATGAGAGCCTGTGGGTAAGGGAGGAAATCTGTGTGTAAGACCGGCGTAGAGCAACTCTCAGAGCTGGAGGGATGAGATTTAACCCTCGATTCGGGTAATGTGGGAAAAGAAAAGTTATAGATGTCAACAAAGAAAGACGTGGTACTCCAAAATGTAATATTTTGGTTTATTTTTTGGGGTCTAATAAAACCCCCATGATATACGTGCATGAGCATTCATCTTCTGAAAACAACCCCACGTCCTTGCATCTTACTCTGAAAGCGAAAAAAATTTAAGAATATGGATAGTTTGCAAGACTGGATTCTTCACCATGACAAAGAAGTTCTTCCTATTATATAAACCATTCTAATATAATTTTTCTAGAGTGATTGTTCCATGGCTCAGATTTTAATCTATTTTGCCTGCTTACACTATAATCACATCTGCGTGGAACTAACCCGAGAAGAAATGTCTGCTATGTTAAAAATCATATTAAATTATAGTGAATATTAGCGTCTTCGTTTTTAATCATTTTTATCTTGGCTTCAAACAGGACTTGTCATTCCAGAAAGTACAGATTCATACAAAATAAGTCCAGTCTGGGGCTTTTCCCAAACTACTGCTCTTCGCTGCTGTTTTCAGAAACACGTGTCATTCCTTGTCTGAAACCTAGAAGTTCATCGCTTCATCTCTGAATTTAATTCATTAACGTGACTTTGCTACCTCAAGACAAGGTTCTAACTCCAAATATCCATTACTGGGGGTAAGAAGGAGGGGTTTTTTTTGTAACTTGACATTACTAAAAGGATTAATAAGAAAAGAGGGAAGATGTAAACAAGATATGCAGAGACACAAATCCAGCAGGCAAACTTAATGAGGCCAAAGACAAGAAACAAACCTCATTACTCACGCTAATTAATGGGCTGTCGAGATACTGCAGGTGACCTGGGACTTTGTGACTGGTGTGGATGCGAATCCTCAGGTCCTGGATACTGGGCGGGGGGGTGGTGGTGGTGAAACTGCAAATTGGTGAAGGCATGTGCAGGGGAAGAGTATCAGGGAGGGGAAAAAGGAGGAATCTCCAGAAAATGGTATACAAGGGGTCAGCTGGGTGTAAAACAGGGCTGGTCACCGGGTCTGATGCAACCCTGCGCCTGGTTACCACTGCCTTCCTATCAAAGCCCTTCTTAATTAGCTCTCTGCATAATCTCACATCTCAGGGGTGAAACGTGTTTAACCAGGAATAAGTTTGCTCTTCAGAAGAAATTCCTCACTTTAACCCCTCCAGCTTTATGCTTTCTTTTGCTACTCACTCTAATGGCAAATTTAATCTCATATTTACTTATCTGGGTCTACACAGAAGCCCCTGACTCTGCCTGGCTGCTCAGGTTTAGCACCCTGGAAACCCACTTCACATTCAGTGTTGGGCCCCTCACCCCAAAAAGGCCATTGAATGACTCGAGCGTGGCCAGAGAAGGGCAACGGAGCTGGGGCAGGGTCTGGAGCACAGGTCTGCTGGGGAGCGGCTGGGGGAACCGGGGGGGTTCAGTCTGGAGAAGAGGAGGCTGAGGGGAGACCTCCTGGCCCTCGGCAACTCCCTGCCAGGAGGGGGCAGAGAGGGGGGATGAGTCTCTGGAGCCAAGGCCCCAGCGCCAGGCCCCGAGGGAATGGCCTCAAGCTGCCCAGGGCAGGGTCAGGCTGGCTCTGAGGAAGGATTTCTGTGCAGAAGGGGCTGTTGGGCGTTGGAATGGGCTGCCCAGGGCAGGGGGGAGTCCCCGGGATCCCTGGAGGGGTTGAAGAGTCGGGCTGAGCCAGCGCTGAGGGATCTGGGGGAGTTGGGAACGGTCAGGGGGAGGGTCATGGTGGGGCTGGAGGAGCTTCAGGGGCTTTTCCAACCCGGATGGTGCTGGGATTCCATAATACTTTATATCCTTGTTGCCATTATTGAAGTTGTTATGTGCTGAACCCAAGACAGATGAGGTCATGGTTACACCTCTGAATGACTTTCAGGAGCAGTAGCATCTGCTTAATGTTCTTCTGATTTGTGGTGTGGAGGAAGGATAAAAATATATTGCACGAGAACATTTAATAACTACCTGGGGTAACGATACAGCTTGCAGGCTACTCTATCCTCCTCACTCGTGTACCACTGCATCTCCAAAAACGTGGTGGAGAGAGAACCTCCTATAAATACCAAGCTTGGGCCTCTTAGCTGGTTTCTTCTCAGCATCTCTGCAACCCCCAGCAGGCCTTCAGGAAAGGCATTGCTGCAGGAAGGCAACCCCCTCAGCGAGGACATTCGTTGCCAGTATTTATTTTCTTATAACGAAGAGAGGAAAGCAGCCAGCCTCCCAGCAAGGACGAGCTGTAGGTGCTTCCCCACGAGCAGGGGCTGCCTTCCTCCAAGCCCCCAGCAGCAACAGGGTGCTCCCCACGCTGGGCTTTTCCCCCAAACTCAACGTTAAGCTTGGCCATGGTCTCAGCCACCAGCAGACAGGAGAAGATTTGCAAAAGAAAGACCAGCCTGCTCAGAAACATGGCTTTTTGCCCCAGGTTTTAGTCTGCTATAACAAGCTGTTTCCTTCAACTACTTGTAGAGGTCGATGAGAATTTCCCTACGTTCATTACACGGGGGGGAAATGTTGTTTCCGTTCCAGTGATGCAGCACCATTTGCTTTGCACAAGACTTTTAAAGTCAAGATTTCCAACTTATCATCACTTACAGCTTTTTGATAGCAGCTGCAAGCTTAATATGACAAATATCAGCTCTAAAGAGGAAGGTACAGAAGGGATTTTCCCTACAATGTGACACAACCTGCCTACAATTTTTTACTCTGTTTTGGTGGCAGGCAAATGACATTATGCACAATTGTTTGGGTTTTTTTTACTGTGGGGAAAGGAAAAAGGAAACAAGGCCCATGTGTTAGACCTTTAGGTGCTGCCAGTAACGTCAGAAAGAGCCATACGAATCTTCCATCATCCTTTTCACGATCAGGGAATAAAAAAATGTGAGTAGAATTATTTCTGCTTTAAGAGAAGCAACATCTGGGGATGTTGTTTGCAGGCAAAAGGGGGTTGTGTCCAAGCCTTCAGCTGGAAATTTTAGAACCTCGTGTTTCCTCAGTGGTTGTGATTGTGGTTATTTGTTCTAACCCCTGCCTCCTAGGATCTGATTTAATAGCATAGAATAAAGACTCGTTACAAAAATCGACTAGTTCTCTTTGAGAAAAGGCCGCGATGCTTCTCACCAATGACCTCATAAACTGAGAACTGAAATTCCCAAAAGTCAGAAAACCCAGAAGTTAAAACCCAAAGCAACTCCAAGGCAGAAAACCCCTTTGGTTGTTTCATCAGTGTTTCCTCTTTATCACCCCAAATGAAAAAAGAGCTGAATTAAAAAAAAAAAAATCCAAATCACAGCTGTGCCCACCCCACCCTGCCTCTCTCCATCTGGATTCCTTGGCAGCAAAGTCACACTGCAACTCCAACATGGAGCAATTTGTCTTGTCAAGTTCAGGAGCAGCTTTCAGAAAGGCAGGCTCCTCTCCGGCCAGATGCTGCCAATGCAACATGGGCTCATCGTACCTGTCATCGGGGTGTCCCCCTGGGCAGCAAAACCACTTCATTTTGACCAATTCTTCCAGTTTACATCCGAAAAAATGAAGCTTTCAATGTGCATCAACACATAACAGTTATAGAAAGCATAAGTGTGGTGTATTTTACCTTTTACAAGAAAACAGCTTTGCCTACGATGCTAAACACTGGATCTTCTTCTTCTTCCTCCACTTTTTCTTTTTCTTTTTCTTTTTCTTTTTCTTTTTCTTTTTCTTTTTCTTTTTCTTTTTCTTTTTCTTTTTCTTTTTCTTTTTCCTTTTTCTTTTTCTTTTTCTTTTTCTTTTTCTTTTTCTTTTTCTTTTTCTTTTTCTTTTTCTTTTTCTTCTTCTTCTTCTTCTACTTTTTCTTCTTCTTCCTTTTTTGCCTTCTTTGCCTTCTCCTTCTCCTTCTCCTTCTCCTTCTCCTTCTCCTTCTTCTCCTTCTCCTTCTCCTTCTCCTTCTCCTTCTCCTTCTCCTTCTCCTTCTCCATCTCCTTTTCTCCTTCTCCTCCTTTGCCACCTTCTGCTGCTGCTTTTTCTTTTTTTGCCTTCTTCTTCTTGTCTTAGTCTTCACCTTCATCTTCTTTGTTGTCTTTGCCTTCATCTTAATCTCCATCTTCATCTTTTTTATCTTCTTTGCTTTCATCTTCATCTCCTTTGCTTTCATTTTCATCTTCCTCTTCTACTTACTATCATCATAATTATCATTCAGCATGTTTAGCTTTTAAAACTCATCCGTATCACCCATCGGATAAAATCTTTCACATTCATAGTCTCCTGGGTGGAAAGCAGTGTCATGTCAACCTTATTTAGGTCCTGCAGGTGTAGGTCACATTCACTTTTGCCTCTGGAAATCCTGCATCTGTGCTGAGCATTTGCTTCCCCTCCAGCAGGGATTATTATTATCACAGCACCAGAAACCCACCTGCTTCTTTAATTAGAGGCTCAATATTTTTGTAGCTCCCGTAAGATAAAATGTTAGCTCTGTAATTTCTTGCTAGATAAGGAAAAAACTTTTTTTTTTTTTTTTTCCCCCCCAGGGCTGCATTTTCCCAGCTGCGTCTAAGCAAAGTGAGCTGTAACACTTTTTTGGAGTCTGGGGCAGCGACTGCTTCTTGCCTGAACTGGCTAATAGCAGGTAAGATAAAATTAGAGCTGGCATGCCGACTTGATGGGAAATCATTCCAGTTTGCAAACCTCAGCTTTACAAATGGTTTGTAGCAACCTTTTGTACTTGACCTATACAATTAGCAGGAATCAACCATAGTCCCAAATGTTACTGTGAGATAAGAACATTTTGTGGTGAACTCATATCCTGGGTGGGTTATATGTGCTCGGTGTGGGAAAACGTATATCAGAAACAATGAGAAATTAAATAATTCCTGGATAAATCCACAAAGGAAAACAAAACCAGATGAATTGTTTGGTCTTGAACTGTTTTGCTGTATAAAGCATTATTTTGGTCGCTCTTAACTGGAAAGTAAGCCCAAAGGAACATTTTTTCCCAGGACAGATTGCTCCTCATCCCTGGTGCTGGTATCTTAAAACAAGCAGTTTGTCTTTCTTCAGGACTGATCTCTAGTCCTGGGCTAGAATCCATCTTTTCTTACCCCAAAATCCCTAGGTAGAGTCATAAGCAATAACACAACCCTTCCACATGCTACATCCAAGGAGAAACAACCACAACCCCAGCAGAACTCCTCAAACACTTCTGCTCAACCTTCCCAAAAGCAATACACGGTGAGACGGTGAGGGATAGCTCAACCCCAAAATTATTCCTGAGATGTTCAAAGCAATTGAAAACAGACAACTCTCAAACTCTTAGCTTGGACGCAGGATGGCGAAGCTCTTTGAAAATACAGAAGTACTCAGCCCTTGTTATCTCCATGTCCTATGTGAGGGACGCTTTAGGATCACATCCTTGTCTTGATGCATGGGAGAGGGATGAGGTGAGAAGGATCCTTTGGTGCCGTGTGTTGGGGGACAGGGCACAAGGGGCTCCCTGAGACAGGGATCAGGCAGGGCTCAGCAGGGTGATGCTAGAAATCAGCTCTGATTTTTTGTAGAAAGACTTCCTACTGAAAATGTGCTGTTCTCAGGCATCGTAAGTCTCCAGTTTGGCGGGTATAAACACCTGCACATAGTTCTGCTTATCTTATTGAAGATTAGCACCCTTGTTTTCACAAGGATAAGGAGCCAACCAAGAACTTATAGGTCAGGATTAAAGGGAGGGCAGGAACAGAGGACATTATAGGAGGGGTCTGCTACAGGCCACCCATCCAGGAAGACCAGATGAGGCCCCTCTAGAGACAGACAGGAGCAGCCTCATGTTCACAAGTCCTGGTCCTCATGGGGGACTTCAACCATCCAGATATCTGTTGGAGGGACAGCACAGCAGGGCATAGGCCATCCAGGAGGTTCCTGGAAGGTCTTGGTGATAACTTCCTTCTCCAAGTGATAGAGAAGTCAACGAGGAGAGGTGCTGTGCTGAACCTTGTTCTCACCAACAAGGAGGGGCTGGTGGGGAGGGTGAAGCTCAAGGGCAGCCTTGGCTGCAGGGACCATGGAATGGTGGAGCTCAAGATCTTGAGGGCAGTGAGGAGGGTGCACAGCAAGCTCGCTACCCTGGGCTTCAGGAGAGCAGACTTTGGCCTCGTCAGGGATCTGCTTGGTAGAACACCATGGGATAAAGCCCTGGAGGGAAGAGGGGCCCAAGAAAGCTGGTTAATTTTCAAGGATCACCTCCTCCCAGCTCAGGAGCGATGTATTCTGACAAAGAGGAAGTCAGGCAAAAATACCAGAGGCTGCATGGATGAACAAGGAGCTCCTGGACAAGCTCCAACAAAAAACAGAAGCCTACAGAGGGTAGAAGCAAAGACAGGTAGCCTGGGAAGAACACAGAGAAATTGTCCTAATGGTCAAGGATCAGGTTAGGAAAGCTAAAGCCCTGATAGAATTAAATCTGGCTGGGGATGTCAAGGGCAACAAAAAAAGCTTCTGTAGGTATGTTTGTGATAAAAGGAAGACTAGGGAAAATGTGGACCTTCTCCAGAAGGAAAGAGGAGACCTGGTTACCTGGGACATGGAGAAGGATGAGGTACTCAATGACTTTTTTGCCTCAGTCTTCACCAGCAAGTGCTCCAGCCGCAGTGCCCAAGTCGCAGAAGGCAAAGTCAGGGACTGGGAGAATGAAGAACCACCCACTGCTACTCCCAGAGGTGCCCACACTGTCCCTGGGGTGCTCGCCCACTGCCCACCGCCAACCAGTGGGACCTTGACAGCTGGAGAGGTGAGCCCAGGTGAAACTCAGGGAGTTCAACAAGGCCAAGGGCAAGGTCCTGCACATGGGTCGGGCAATCCCCAGCACAAACCCAGGCTGGGTGAGGAGGGGA